ATGTATCTATGGTCATTTGTTATAAAGTTACATCAAAAACCAAAATAAATTTTGTCGAAAACTGATAGTGCGTAAAATTTCCCGTATTTTCCTTAATTTTTAGTTTGTTTTTCTCGATTATTTAGAAAAGTATTAAGAATTTTTTACTTTTGACCCCCCAAAGTACCAACTAGATTCACTTTCTGATCGAACGAGGTACTTAAGTCAAAAATTGAAGCATTTTTACTGCCCCAAAACGTGATGACAGGCACAAAAAAAAAATCATGGTAAAATCAATACATTCATCGCTCCACTCAGATTCTAAAATTAAATTAAATTAAAATATATTATGAAAGTTATTGTAATAGTGCCAAATACTAAGTCTATTTTGGAAATTTCCAAGTGATCAATTATTTTACGATTATTAATATTCGTTCATGTACTTGGGTTACATGTAGCTGTCACGATTTTGCAACAAATTTATAGAGTTGAAAGGAAAATAATACATTATGATTATTTRATAAACTTACAAGGCTTACAGCAAGTTTACTCTACCAGTCACCACTGTATAATTTATTTAATAAATTAAAAATAAGAAAACATTCATATATATTACGTACATTATATTCACCAATAGGTTTGTCTACTTGGTCATTTACTTCATCAATTTCTATTAAAAAAATATCATTAGGCAGTTTAATGTTTTTATTTAGAGATGTTTTAAAAATCCATGTAATTCTATTATTTGCTTCAAACCGAGTGTTTTTGTCTTTGCTGAACATCATTGCAACTGCCGAATGAAGTATCTAAAAATCAAATTAATTATTTAAATATATTATGATAAATTATGATTTTTAAATGTATAAACTAATACAAATAATAAAGTAAAATATTTCAAAATTATATATTGTGATAGTATATTGTTTGATTTATTCGTTACATTTGGAAGATACTTAGAAAACACACTGCCCTAATAATAAACAGGTTATCAATAATTTTAAGAAAAAAAATTATACTTTGAATTAGTTTTCTTTTGTCTCAGTTAAATTAATGTAATCAATAACATAAATAGATAAATTCACTTCTCATACCAAACTGCATATCAAAAGGTCTAGATTTCAATTGAAAAAATACAAAAAAATTATTTACCTAACCTTTTATATATATTAATACTTATATAAAATATACATTACAATAAAACTAGCACGGAGGGCTAGTATTACAATACAATTATAAATTAATAACATACCACTAATTTTGAAATATTGAGTTTCTTTGCTTGATCAGGATCAAACAAATTCAAAACAATTTGACCGAATGTAGATATTTGGTTAGCATAACAATATAATACTGGAAAGATTGGAGCCAAATTATTTAAAAAATATTTCCATTGATTATCATTTATTATGTTTTTATTTTTTATCATCTGTTCTATAATTTCTGATGCTGATTGACATATCTAAATACAATATATTTATTTTAACAATCAATAGTTTAAAAAATAAAATTAACATACCTGTTGGTTTGAATTATTACAGCCGAAACATATAATTTCATTCAACACATTAGTAGATAATACATTGTTTATTAACCGGTTAATTTTATTCGATTCAAAATTTAAATAAAAAAATATTTTCTTCAATGTATTATTAAGTGCTAAGTATGTGTGTAATACAATATCTACAGATTTAAAAGAAAGCAAATTTAGTAAAATATTGCTGTATTCTTTTTGAATATCTGTTGTTTCTGTTAACTTTCTAAAGAAAATAATAAAAGCAATATTAGGACAATTGTAAAAACTAATATTTGAATAGGTAGCTAATTAAAAATTGTATTATGAGGTAAATTTATTTCTAAAATAAGTAACTTAATTTTAAGTTTAAATAATTATTACTTTTAAATAAAATATTTTATTATTAAATCCCGGTAATTTACTATTACCTATAATACATTTTGAATAACAAGGTTATTTAAATAATTAATTTATCTAAATATTCGTGATTCTGTTTGAGAATAGACAATTAAAAAGTAATATAAGTAGTGAAATTGTCGCCAAACAATACCTTAAAAAATGTAAACAATAAGTTGTTGTGTGAATCCATAAAAAATAATGTTTTTAATTAAAAATGAAATCTAAATGTATTTTTAGTTTTAATAATTTTCATTCTTTTAGATTCTGAAACAAAGTGATGTATGTTTTGGTTTAACAATAATGTATATTTTTTGAGCAGTAAAATGCTTCAATTTTCAATTTAGGGTGGTT